TGGTGAGGCCAGCACTCAGCCATGACCATGGGATGGGCAGCAGGAGTGGCTTTGCGAGAGTTCAACGGGCAACAGTTACTTAGAAGACGCCTGTTATTTCATGATCATAGTGCTCAGTGCTGTGGAACATATAAGGAAAATGAACCAGACCTTATCTGTTGGGAGCATACACTTATTTACAAACTGACAAAGATGGCTTTCAAGTGTCAAAACTTTGGAGTGAACTGGCCAGAGTTATCCTGGAGTGGCCTTCTATGCACTTAACACTGTCATCTACTTCAGTCTATCTCTGCGCTCGCCTTCTCTCTCACTCTCTCTTGCTCTTGCTCTTTCTTTCCCTCTCCATATTTCATCTTTGCTTCTCTTTGTGTTTGACTTCATTCTCTCAGGCAGGCTTCCTCTACCAGCCTAGAACCATAGCTGAGGCGAGGTCCAGGCTCACATTCCCACAGCCTAGCAACAAAGAGGCGTAAATATCTGATTATGGCTTAGAGCAGTGGTTCTCACACTTTAGTGTGCATCTGAGTCACCTGGAGGGCTTGTTAAAACACCAACTGCTGGCCCCAGAATTTCTGATTTAGTAGGTGTATTATTTCGCTAGAGCTGCCATAACAAAGTACCACAAACTGGAGTGGCTTAAACAAGAGATATTGATTTCCTTACACTTCTGGAAGCTGAAAGGCTGAGATCAAGGTGTTGGCAGCGTTGGCTCCTCTGAGGGCCCTCTCCTTGGCTTGTAGCTGGCCATATGCATATGATGTCTTCACATCATCTTCCCCCTGTGTGTCTGTGTCCTAACCTCCTCTTCTTATAGGGACACCAGTCATGTTAGGTTAGGGCCCACTCCAGTGACCTCACTTAACCTTAACTATCTCTTTAAAGATTCTATCTACAAATAGAGTCATATTCTGAGGTCCTGAGAGTTAGGACTTCAACATATAAACTTGAGGAGGACACAGTTCAACCCGTAACAGTAGGTTTGGGGTGGGGCCACAGAATGTGTGCATTTCTAACAGTTCCCCAGGGGCGCCAATGCTGCCGGTCCAGGGACCACACTTGGAGAACCGCTGGCTTAGAGTGGTTCTCTCCCCTGGTATATATGCACTTGAACAGGAGTAGACTTGGGTTCACATAATTATAATATTAATTGGAAGAAATGCCATATATTTGTAACTGGCAAATGGGGGAGAGGGTTTTTAAGTGAGGAACTTTTGGCATGTCACAAATTAAATGGCACTGATTCATGGCCCTTCAGGAGCATAGAGCAGAAGAAAGGGCTCAGGCTTTCACACTGGAGATGTCATGGATCTAATCCTGGCATGGCCCTTCTGAGCTAATTTTGAGCAAGCCACATAATAATTCTGAGTTTCAAATTATCATCCATAAAATGGGAGTGAAAATAATACCTGTAGGGTAGTTGTAGGAATTAAATATAATAATTTATGTAAAGGGTGTGGCGCTTAGTAAATGGGAGCTAGTACTGTTGTTTTTTATTTATCCATTTGCACGTTAAATATGTGACTGGGGGTCAGAAGACATGAGGTCTAGTCCCAGCCCTGGAACCCAGCTGTGTGCCCTTGGGCCCCGCTTAATCTCTTTGAGCCTCAGTGCTTTTATCTGTTAAACAGGGAGGAATGTCTCTCTCCTACCGTCTCCAATCACGGTTGTTTTAAGGACCACATAAGATAATGTGAAAATGCAAAATTGACTAGACTGTGCTCCACAATGGAAAGCACTTATATAGTTTCTTTTTGTAATAGTCACCAATAGGAGTAACTACCTGACTCCTCACAGTTCCTTCTTCTCTAGAAATAGTGTCTGTGCTACAAAATCTCACCCACCTGGCCAGAGGTGAGCCCCTTACTTAGCTGGGCCAATCAAAGGGCTTCTTTGGAATTTTTCAAAATGGAGCGAAGGTAAGAAAGTTCTAGGGCCTTTCTGATAGTTGGAGTTGTGAGATGTGAGGCTTTGGAGGTATATAGGTCGTAACATTTCATGCCATATGGGGAAAGCCGTGCCTTTCTTGGCTGGAATGATGCCAATACGCAGAGAGAGGCCAGGCGGCACTTGAGGCCCTGGCTCTTGTGGTTCCGGACACCCAGCTGTGCCTCAGTCATAAGAGATACCCTAGTATCCTATCCTTTTTATCTAGGAAAGTTTCCACTGGGTGTCTGACACTTGTAACCCTGACAAATGCATTATTCACTCAACAAGTATTTATTGAACACCTATGCGATGCCAGCCACTGAGCCAGATGGTAGTCAAATGACACAACAGATTGGCAAGGCCGTTTTCACTTCCCCCAGGCCCGATCTGCCTGCCTCCTCTTCACTCCTTAGCAGGAACCTGCAGAGTCCGCCTCCATCCTCTGCTTAGCCAGGTCTCTGGGCAGAATCACAAAATCTTAGTCTCTTAGAATTGGTGAGCCAGAGAATAGTTAAATTGTAATTCTCACAGACTTTGGGGAAAACTTGCATGGAGGATACAAAGCCCTCTCAACTCATAGTCCATAGGGCAGGACCTGGGGTCAGTATTTTTATAAAGCTTCAGAAGTGTACCTCATGCAGCCAGTCCCTAGGCTTCTGTGGTGGAGGCCCACGTGCTCCTTCTTCTCCTCTTCCAAGAACGAGAGAAACTGGGCAAGGAGGGGCCAAGGGACAAGACTCCCAGGGGCAAGAACTACATGGCTCAGCTTCGCTATCAGCATGACTTGTTTCCTCATCTGACAATCAGGATTGGTGGAAACTTCTGCCCTGGGGGATTGTTCTGAAGAAGAATTTATTTCCTTCTCCAGTGGTTAGGTCTCCTCCAGGAGGGCAGGCCTTCAGGCATTTTCCTTGTTTTCCCCAAAGGGTTGAGCACGTGGATGGTGTCCTGTAGATGCTTGTTGATGGCCCAGCCCCTCCTCTCCACCTCCACAGCCACCAGGTGAGGCCTCATCCTCACCCACCTGGGCTGTGGTCCCAGTCTCCTCTGGCGTCTTGTCTGTCCCTCCCAGAGATCACACATGGAGGAAGCCTGGCACTTCCCAACCGCTCCTTCTAAAAACTCCATCAGGTTGCTCAGGCACTCTGTCTGGGCCACCCACGTGCACCTGGGCCTCTGTTATGCAGGAGCTCTGGGTCAGTCCTCAATGGGCTGATTGCGGTTTCCTCCTGGGTTGGTTTCTTCCAGTCTTTAATCTCAGTCCTCCAAAAGGGCTGGTGCTGGATGATAGAGACCCTGGCCTGGGCCTCAATTCCAGAGCTTCTTGAAGCCTGCCTTGTAACAGAGTGAGCTGAGAGGAAGCACTTGGAATCTTGGGGTCAAATTCCTAGTTAGGTGGCCTGGGGCAAGTTGCTTTTCCTTTTTGGGTGCCTCGGCTTCCTCAGGTATCAAATGGGGGATGCTAGGACTTGTCTTGTAGGATTCTGTGAAGGTTAGAAATGCCACAGTTGCAGTGCCTGGAAAAAAGGAGTTGTGCAAGAAGTGGTAGCAAATAGTATTACTTGGCTGTGCCTGCCTCCCTCACTAAGCTGGCAGCTCTTTGAGGGTGAGGACTGTGCTTTCGTGTCAGGTCATAGTTCCAGTCTATTGAGTACTCCCTGGGAACTGGGCAGAACTGTCATGGGGTAAACAATGATACTTACTTCATAGGGTTGTGTGTGGATTCAATGAGGAGGTTTGCCCCCATTTTCAGATGAGGAAACTGAGGCTCAACTAGGTTAACTTCCTTTCTTCACAGCTTTGTGTCTCTCTGTCCCTGCACAGGGCCTCACACAGGGCAGACGCTTGAATGACTGTGAAATTGCAGCTCCTGGCATAGCGGTGACGTGGCCCTGCTCACAGCGTGTGGGAGAGACACAGGCTTCCCAGCCCCTGTCCTTTCCTTTCCTGGCCTCCCTGGCAAGAAGGGAGGGTATAAGTCTGTTGCTGGGCAGGCAGTGAGGGCCTCAAAAGTCTGGGGGCCAAGTGCAGGGCAGGGGAAGCCCATCAGAGGCCCCACCCTTGGTGGGGGGACATTCCAAGGAGACAAAAAGCGATCTGTGAGGGCTTGAGTCAGATTAAAGTGGAGGGTGGGGTGGGGGATGGTAATAGAAAGGTACAAAAATCCATCTCTGCTCTGATTGGCAGTTTTCCGTTGATGACAGAGGGGCTTGGTGCTCCCTTGTCTCCTTCCGGTTGTTCCTCTTACCCTATTTTTTCGTTAGATCTTTCCGACGATGGAGCTATACTTGTTTCATTTTATACACGGGGCCGCTGAGGCCCACTGAGGGAAAAGACCCATTCAAGGGCACATAGCCTGTGCATGAGGAGAGCTGGGTATAATGGTGCTGTACTTGGGGTCAGACAGACTGATCCCTTCCACCATGGGCAGCACCATGACCTTGGACAGATTACTTTAACCTCTGTGAGCCTCAATTTACTCACCTTTAAAGTGGGGATGTTAATAATCTCCACCCCCTAGTGTTGGCGTGAAGGTTAAAGAGGGGCATGAACGCACCTTGCCTAGCACAGTGCCTGGCCAGAGCACATGTTCAAAAATGTGGGTTCATTGCTTCCTTTGACCTTTGGCTCCACTTTTCTGTTTTTCAACTGCCCCAGCTTCCTTTCCACTCACCTTTTCTTGTTCTTTGGGCTCTTTACACCACACTGTCAGCATGTGGTTCTGCTGCATGGTTCTTTCTTTCAGCAGCAAATGAGTGGAGGGAGAGCTCAGAACCTCAGGAATCAAACCACACAGAATCCATCCCAAAGGAAACAGTGAATTGACCCACAAGAGTGACCTGCATGTGATTTCTGATTTCATTTAGAGGGTTCAAGGGCTGTGGGAGGAGAACTGAGTGGGGAGCTGGGAGACCGGGGTTCAAGTCCGAGCTCTGTAACTGAGTAGCTGTGTGACTCTGGGCTGGTCCTTTCTCCTCTCTGGCCCTCAGTTTCCCCATCTGACAATAAGGGGGCAGGAAAGGGGAAACTCTGACTCTTTGAATTTCTAATTTTATTCTAATTGTATGTTTCAGGGAGGAATAACTGGGCCCTGGATGTGATGTGATGAGTGAATATTCCTGATGAGAAGTGGAAATAATTCATGGTTGAGAGCTGTGCCTCAGATCAGAGTGACAGGATACATGGCCAGGCTATATTTTCCAGCAGATTACGTTAAAAGCTGTGGCCTAAGACTCTAAAGTATGAAGACAAAAGGAGAAGATGACACAATATCTTTCTAAAGAAATATTTTCCAGCCAAACGGTGCAGCAGATGACTTCTAGGAATTTGTTCTTGTTCTCTATTGAAGGTGAAGAGTTCACAGCCTTCAAGGAAGCAAGAAGACGTGGGATGGAGTGAGGAAGCCAGCTGCTGGAACTCTCTGAGCCCCAGTTTGCTCGTCTCTAAAATGGGGCTGATCTGTCTTCCCAGGGTGGTCATTTCAGGTTAAATGAGGTGTTGAGTGTAAAGGCAACCCTCACACAGCATATGATTCCTAGCTAGGGGGATCTGAGTTCTGGTTCTGGTCCTGCTAGGGTATGGCTGGTTGGGAGGATCAAAGAGATAATTAGAGGGATTGCCAGTTTCCTAATGGGGAGCCAAAATTGCCATTTTAGACCAAGCATGTGGCCAAGGTGACAACCTCACCATTTCATTTCTTCACGTTTATTTATTGAGCAAGATTGGGGGGCATGTGTGTTCTGTGGAGCCAAAGGAGGAGCTTGGTGGTTAGAGAAGGAGAGACGGAAGGCTGAGACAATCAAGGATGAGAAAGGAAGGGTTTTAGTGACCTGGGGTGAGGGCAAGGAGAGAGGAACAGCCTGTGCAAGGATGTGGAGGCAGGACCAAGTGTGAAGATGCAGGCTGGGCTATGGAGAGGGGGTGGGTAAGGAGGAGGATGGTGTACTCAGCCTGCCTTGACCTTGGGAGGGAGTGGAGAGCAGGTCTCCTTGTCTGCAGAGCATGCGGTCACTAAAGGCTGCGACCCACTGTGAGAACTCAGCACCTCTCGTCTAGTCCTCACATCACCCTCCAACCCTGCAATGTAGGGGTGCACACCCCAGTTTCTGGGAAGTGGTCAAACCACTTGCCTAAGTTAATTGTCTGGCAAGTAGCAGAGCCAGGATTTGAACTCAGGGCTCCTGATCCCCAGTCTGGGGAATTTTCTCAGCTCAGGGTCAGGACTAGGGTAACTCAAGCGAGGTGGCTGGGGTGCAAAATTTAGGGAGGCACTTGCACAATCCTGAGAGTGAGTGCCTCCTTTCTTTCTCACATTTGTCACATCTAAGTCCGGCCTCCTCCTCTGCGGGGACCCCTCTCTTCTCTCTAACCTTCTTGGCAGCAGAGGCAGCAGGCTGCAAGGACCTGCAGCCGGGCTTGGCTTTGCTCCTGACCAAGTGGGAGGCATTAAGTTAATGGCCCTACAGGTGAAATCAATCCAGTTAAAATGATGGCCTGCTCCTTCCCTGTCCCCTTAGAAGCTAGCCATGCAAGATTTTCTGTTCTCACTCATCTCCTCAATTCATATGTCCCCTAGGTCCACTTTCAACCACTGGAGTGCCTGGCACAGAACTGGGTGGGACTGGTAGAGAGGGGCAGGAGCCTCTCTCTCCTTGCTCTGCTCTGCAGCCTAGGCCAGCTGTTGTCAGAGGCCGGGAGGAGCTCAGAAGTCAAGTTTTGGCTCTGCCATCTCCTGACTCTGTGACCTGGGCAAGTCTCTAGGCCTCTCTGAGTCTCCTGTTCTCCTCTATGAGGTTGGTAAAATGATTTTTGCCCTCCAAACTTCCAGGCCACAAAGAAAGGTTGATGTGAAAATTCTTTAAAAGTTGAACAGGAGTGAAGCAATATTGGAAATAATTGCTAGCACCTTTATAGTACTTACTGTGTGCATCCATAACTCTATGATATGTCTACTATCACCACCACCATCATCATCCCCATCTGGAAGAGGAAGGGAGCTGAGGCTCAAGGAGTTAAGTAGCTTGCCTGAGGACGCACAGCTAATAAAGAGGAGAGCTGGGTTCAAAGTCCGACAATCCAGCTCTAGATCTAGGCTCTTAATCACAATGCTATTTTTTCTTCTGGGACCTTTCCAACTTATTTTTATTTTTTATTTATAGTTATTTAAAAAATTTTTTTGCTGAGGAAGATTCACCCTGAGCTAACAACATCCATTTGCCAATCTTCCTCTTTTTGCTTGAGGAAGATTCACCCTGAGCTAACATCTGTGCCAGTCTTCCTCTATTGTGTATGTGGGTCGCTGCCACAGCATGGCCGCCAACGAGTGGTATAGGTCTGCACCAGCCACCAAAGCGGAGTGTGCTGAACTTAACTACTAGGCCACAGGGCTGGCATCTCCCACTTATTTTTAAATGTTAATTGAGAAGGATCAGTTGCTTATTAAAGGCCATGCACTTTGCATATATTTTTTTCATTTGATCTTCCTGAGATGATAGAAATTATTCCCCCATTTTGCAGATGAGAAAATTGAGACTTAAAGAGGGACATATAGCTAGTGAGTGGAGAGTCAAGATTCAAACCAAGGTCTGTCTCTTCTAAAATAATAACAATAGTAATGACAACATGATAACATTCATATTAGTAATAGTTAGCAGCTGGACACTGCCATCAGTGTCAAGATAACCTGCATTCTCGTCTTGGCCCTGCCTCTGATCTACGTGTGACCTTTTTCAAGTCCCTCCCCTCTTGAGGTCTCACATTGCAATGTCTGGTTCTCAGGTCCCTCCAGCCCTGGCAGGCAGTGATTCACCAGGGTTGGCAGTCTGAGGGCAGCTGATTCCCTCAGATGGAGCATTTGTTATCTGTACATTGGAAATATTTATGTGTCTCAACTTAATTAGTGAACAAGCATAATAATAATAATAATAAAGCCATCCTGGAAAGGGAATTGCTCTTGGAAACAATTGTTTAGACAAAACACCATTTGTTCCCAGCTCTTGCTCCCTGCTGGAATGGTAGGCCACTTGTTTTGGTGACAGATGCCTTTTGACTGGGGTTTTGGATCATGAGCAGCTTGTGGGCTGGGAGTGGGAGTGGGAGTCGGGGATGGAGCTGGCCCACTCTCAGCTGGCCTTGGAGGGGATTCCCAAAGTCTCCTGAAAGTGGGGGTACTCTCCAGCCACCCTACACCACGGGGGCCCCAGAACTCTAGGACAGGGCTAACCCCTCAGTCCTGATGTTACTGAGGTCCTGAGAGTCACAGTGACTTGCCCAAAGTCACTCAGCAAGATGGTGGCATCAGAACTAGAGTCCACATCTAGTTCTTTTCATGTGGCATGTGGTCTTTGAGGGTATGATAAAGTCACTTAACCTGGCCTATTTGGTATCTTGTCTGCCTGCCCGTGCATGAACCTTGTCAGGAATTACTATCTCTTTGTGTCCTGCCACTGACCCTAAGTTTACTATCACCCTCTGGCCTAGACAGATATCAGGGGGGCTGGCACTGGTTATGTGGCCCAGTAGAACATGTTTCTGGGGTCAGGCAGGGTAAGAGGGGCTTGAGTCAAGCGTAATGGTTTTGGTCTTGGTCATGTGACTTCTTTGCTTGTATGTGATTAGTGGGTACCTCCATTCACCAGCGTGTATAATCTCAGATTCCTCATTTATAAAATGGAGCAGTAATCTTGGTTCTCTACACCCCATGCACAAGGGCACTGTGAGGATCAGTTACATGAAGAAAGAAAGAGTGCTTGTAAACTAAAGAGTGATATAAAAATATTATTGACAATAATGGCCAACATTTATCATGCACTCTCCATGTGTGTATTGGTTGAGGTAATTAACACTTGCTGCTGGAACACACAACTTTCCAATCTCAGAGGATTAAACAACGAAAGTTTGTTTCTTCTCTAATAGTCAGAGGTTGGCCAGGTGGCTCTTGGGAGAGCTTTTTTCTAACTTTATTTTTCTGGAGTCTTTCCCTTTCAGCCTCACTGACAGGGTAAGAGAGGCACGGAAGGTGCATGGTGGGTTTGGAGCCAAGGCTGAAAGTAGCATGTCTCACTTTTGTCCACATTCCATTGGCCAGAATTCAGTCCCATGGTTCCTCATGGGAACCGGGAAATGAAGTTGCGCCCAGGAGGAAAATAAACCTATTTGCTGGACACATTGCATTTTCTCAGCTACAATGTGCCATGCACCTTGTTAATCCTCATAACAATCCTCTAAACGGCTTTATTATCCTTTTTTTTTCCAGGTGAGGAAATGAGGACATAGAGGCTCAGAGGGTCAGATGACTTACTGAAGATGTCAAATTAACGAGAGTGTGGTGATCTGCATTCAGTCTGTCTGGCTATTTTTTTTCTCAGAGAGAGAGAACTTCCAGCTGCAGTGGATCAGTTTAATTCATGTTATTTGTTGAGTGCCCTCTGTGTGCTGAGTGCTGTGCTGTCTCCTATAAAACGTCTCCAACATTCCTCTTCCTCTTCCCCAGGCTGAGACTACCTTTATTTCCCCAGCAATTCCAATTCTGTCTAGTCTTTAAGGTTCAGCTTTAGCCTGCTCCCTTCAGGAAGTTTGCCCTGATTACCCCAGGAATCCCTTCTTTCTGAACCTCTCTTGAGTGCCCCTCAATTCCAGGAAAGAGTGTGCAGGAAAGAGTGAGAGGCAGAGTGGATCCTTTTGTTTACCCCCAGGAATTGACAATAAGTTTATAGCTTAGAAAAAGGACACAAAGTCCCCACATTTTAAAGAGACTGACCAGGAGTCAGGGTGGCCTTCTTCTGGCTGAGAGGCTCCTGGTTAAAAAAACCAGCCCCACTCTGACCTCTTCCCCCTAGAAGAGGAGGATTGCGAGAGGGAAAAGCTGTTTTTCATCTCGTTTCCTTGGGGGAGACAAAGGATTTACCCTCCCTGAGACAAGGCCCCAAGGAAAGGACGGATTGACATTTTGTTTCTCCGTTTAACTACCTGGCCTTGCTCTGGTGTAGCAGCAGAAACGCAGAGGAGACAGGGAGTTATTTGGCCAGATAAATGGGGCAAGGACAGCCCTCATACCAGTTCAGGTCTTGAATTCCTCACAGTCCTCTGAGTAGAGATGCATAGAGATTAGGGACCTCATGCAGTGACGGGCATCAGGAGAATGAGTTGTGAGACCATGATGGGGGTGTCAGCCCAGGATGAGGCAAATCTCAGTGGGGATCACCAGTATGTAGTGGAGCTGCTTGGAGAGGGCCCTCATCAGCAGAGTTTGTGAGAGCCTCTCCACCACCCATAAGGAGCCCATAGACAACAAACCAGATCCATGGTGAGGCACAATTCGAACACCACCTCACTGTGAGCTGTCACACTAAGAGTCTGCTACCTCCTGCCTTCCTCCTCACACTCCAATACTAGAGCAGTGAAAGAGGGAAGAGGAGCTGAGTGAGAGCAGACCCTGCCCCATCGACTCGACCAAGATCCTTGAAGTGGGTTAGAGATGGTGTGGGAAGGAGGCATGGAATGACAGGGGTGGGGTAGGAAGAGCTTTGAATCAAACATAAGAATAAAAAAAAATAACTAAATAGGATTGAGTCCTAAAGAACCCAAATGAGACTAGTCTAATAACTGAAAGTGACTGAAAACTTATGGCCTCAGACCGAGAGTTTGTTAAGGCAGCCTGCTACCCAGCAGGACAAGGGAGGGTTCAACAGAACACAGTTGGTAGCAGTTATTGGAAAAATAAAACTTTCCCAGGTTTATACCCCAATGAACTGAAACTCACAGTAAATCAGTTTCATACTCATCCATTTAGCTACTGTTTGCTGAGCTTCTAGTCTTTGCCAGACAATGCTCTTGGCACTGGCGATTCCAAGGAGCTTATCCTGGTGGGGAGACAGACACGTGAAAAAGGAACTGTTCGGTGTGATAAATGCTATGAGATAGGATGGTGGAGTACAGTGGGGCATGGAGGAGAGAGGAACTTAGCTATGGTTGTGTGTTTCAGGGGAAAGAGTAGGGACATTTTTCTGGGGTCTTGAAGAATGAACAGGAGTTGACTAGGTAGCTGCACTGGGGAAAGATATCCATGTACAAAGGCACAAAAACATGAAATAATGGGACACATTGGGGGAACTGTGAAGAATGTGTTTGAGAAATGCATAAGGGGTATTTATTACTACCATTTTGCTTCTTATTTTCCTTGTATCTCCTTTGCTCAACTGGACTGTAGGCTCCTTCAAAGAAGAGCAATGTCAAATCTCAATTTTATCCCCTTACTACAACTAGCACAGCTGTTCAATTACAACACTGAGCTGCTTGTCACTGGAGGTAATCCAGCAGAAGTTGCATGATTCTCAGGGCTTGAGGAATCCTGCAATGGGAGGGACGTAGATGGGCCTGGATGTGGCTTAGGGGTAACCAGCCCGCTGTCTAGGCTTTGGTTTCCCCCTCTGTGTGCAAGAAAGTTGACCAAATGATCTCTAGAGTTACCTTGAAACTAGTCTAAATTTAGAATTTGGGAGATAAGAACAGTGGATTGGAAGTCAGGAGACTTGGTCACTAGTTCTAGCTGTGCCATTGGCTAAGGGTGTGACCTGCCGTTTCCCCTCCAGGCCTCAGTTTCCCTAATTGTAAAATGCACACTGTGTCAGTAAAGTCTCTTTTAGCTCCAACATTCCATGCCCTCCTCACTGAATTCAGTTGACCTTGTCCTAGCCTGGTGTCCTTGCTCAGGAAGGCCTCACTTTCCTCAATATTATTCAGACACATTTTCAAACTCTATGGGGTAAGGGAGGGAGATTAGGGCCAGGAGAGGGTATTTGAGTGAGGCAATGAATATTTATAACAGACGCACCCACCAGAGGACACATTAAGTCTTGCAGCATAACAAAACTGAATTACCATGAAATAAACTTTCTTAATTAAACCAATTAAATTTTTTCCCAGTATGTAATTTAGAAACTCTGATAAACCCTGGTTGAAAAGGTTTGTTTTAGCCTTAAGCTGGCTGAGAAAGCAGGAACATCTGGTAAGTGGTGGAAAGGCCTGTTTAGGCTCCAGGCCATGGGGGCAGCACTGTGGAGCTATCCGTGGTGCTGAAGCAGCCTCTGCCTCACGGCCCCTGTAAAGGACACAGGCAGGCCAGGGCTCAGTGGTGCTTAGGAGATGCCCTATTTGAGGACAATGCCTTTCACTCTAGGCATGGTGCACTTTTCTATTCCTGTGCTTGACAGTAGCCACTCAGAAGTTAACCATGTGTTCTCCTCACCCTCACAGATCCACTAGAGTTTGAAAAGATGCCATGAATTTTCTCAAGTTTATGGAATCCCAGACTCTTATAGCTGGGGGGCATGGCCTGGTCTAACTTCCTCATTACAAATAAAGGAAATTGGTCTTCAAAGAGTTCAAATGACTTGACCCACGTTCACGTAACTTGTCAGTGACAGAATTGAGATTCAAGTGCAAGTCTCTGACTCTAAATTCTTTTTTCACTAGGATGTTCCCGCAGTCAGAGAAACCTTTGGAGCCAGGGGCTGTATCTTATTCACCTTTATTCTCATCTGGAACCTATCTTAGTGACTGGAAAACTTTTTGAATAAATGAATACATGTATGCTCTTTCTATTTCTCCAAATACATTCAGTAGCAACCTAACCATTATACCAATCACACTAACACAAACCTTAACACTTGTAAGATTATTACATTTGACAAAGTGCTTTTTGTCTGTTATCTAATTTGATTCTCACAACAATTCTGGAGGTACAATGTTAGTCTCATTTTATGCCAAAGGAAACTGAGGCTTAGAGGTCTAGTGTCTTGTTCAAGGTCGCATGGAGAGTCAGTGAAGAAGCTTGGAGTAGGATCCAACTCTCCTGATTCCTAGTCGTGAACCAAGAGCTGCACTTAGCACATCAGGGGACAAAAACAGAAAGGTGGTGCGTGGCTCCTGCTCTCAAACTATGATCTAATTGTAGAGGTAAGTTATACCATCCAATGTGTGGAAACAAGGTACAGGTACTCAGGAAATAGGTAATGGATGAGGTGGTATGGGCTAATGTCGCCATTTGTGACTGCTCTGGCATTTCAGGAAAGGAAGTGATCCCAAAGGCCTGTGGGAGATTAGAGAAGTCCTCAGAGAGCAGGTGGGAGCCAAACTGGCACTGGAGGGTGAGTGTGATTTTGGTAGGTAGCAAAAACACCATTATTGTGAAGTCAAGCAATTTTAACGCTGGAAGAAACTTACAGGTGATCACCTCCTACCCCTTCATTTTATAGACAAGGAAACTGAAATGGAAAGAAATGAGGGACTGGTTCAATATTGTAAAGCCATTTACAGTACTTTTGTGTAGATACTAGGGACACAAGGCAGGTAAGACAGAGTCCCTGCCCTCAGAAGATCCCCAAGCTAGTAGGAGGGACATGGGAATGAGTAGGTGCATTCAAGTGTCACAGAGGTAATGGTAGAGTCTATGTGGAGCCTATTGCAGTTGCAAAAGAGAGGGCACTCATTTTATAGAGTAACACACTCAAAGCTCAAAAGATTTCCTTTGAACTGGTCAAGGTCAATCAAGTTCAGGTAGAAAATGCCAAAATCTATCTCCTAACTTCTGAAACCACTGACTAGAACTTCTGCCTAGGAATGGATTAAACTGGAACAATGAGAGAGGCAGACACTGAATCTGGAGTCTGAAGGCTGAGGTCTAGTTCTGGCTCTGCCTCTTTCTGGCTGTGTGGCCTTGGGCTTGCTACTCTCACTTCTAGGAGCATCAGTTCTTTCATTATAAAACGGAGCAAGGGGCAACTTTGCCCCTTTTCAGGATGGGGATGATCAGAGGAAACATCTAAGCATAAGAGCTTAGTTAATTATAAAGGGATAAAGCAATATATATGTTAATTGTTGTTATTCCTTCTGTGTAGAGCTTGATGCAGAAGAAAAAGTTCTGGATTGTAGTTGAGTCTCCTCTCTGGGCCCTTGCTTTCTTGTCTATGGAACGATGTGATACCTGTCCCATCTACCTTACAGAAATGGTGTAAAGTGAAAAATACCCACGATAATAAAATGATTGATGTAAACAAACAAAAATGACTGCGTTCCTGGATGAAGATCAATGACTGAGCAGAAGGCCAACTGGGCATTGTTACTGTAAACTCATATTTGTACCTTGAATCCGTTTACAAAGAGAATTCACAGCCATTATCCCATCCAATTCCCTCTACATCTCTGTGAGATGAGCCTATCACAGATGATTAGTTTCATCTCACAGAGGAGAAAACTGAGAGTCAGAAGAAGTGATGAGCCCAGAGGCTGAATCTCAGTATAGCCTCAGCATCACCTCCTCTCCTTCCTTTGCAGCAAATCCCCAGTTTCCTGGTGTCCAGAACTCTTCATGGAAGTCCGTTTGGAAGACAGGCCAAAGTCATGTTCTCTTGGACCTTCCCCTTTCCTTGGGCAGCAGTACTGGTGTTTTCCCCCATTGAGTACTTAGCCCTAGGGGTGCTTGATAAA